GTTGAAACTGAAGTTGATTTAGTAATTGATGGTGATCTAACCATTCCAGTTGATTTAGTAATTGATGGTGATCTAACCATTCCAGTTGAAACTGAAGTTGATTTAGAAACTAATGCAGGCTTAGTTACCAAAGGAGATTTAGTCAACATTTGAGATTTTAATGACGATTTTGTTGGAGTTTTAGGTGATTGCAATCCTTTAGATTCTGTTACTTTAATATTAAGTGGAGGTGGTTTAGTCACTGATTTTTTCATTCCTTTGGCAGTAGAAGCTAAAGTTTTTTCAGCTTCTAACTTAACATCAATAACAGGTTTAACAACATTTTTAATAGTTGAACTTTTCAAAGTAGCAGATGATTTTTTCACAGAAGACCCAGTATTGATCTTTTCGGATGCTTTACTAGCTAACGGTGCTTTAGAAGATCCAGGTATTAACAGAGGAGAACCAGGTGATTTAGGAGATCCTGGTGATAAAGTCTTTGATCCTGATCCAGTTTTTGAGATAGTAAGAGGTCCAGATTTTTTCACAGCAGTAGGGAAAGTCATAATGTTCTACAACAAAAATATTTGATAAAATTATTTTTTTAGATTTAATTTTACTGAGTAGTTAAAATTAAATACAATCTATGTTAGAATCTTTCATAGATATAACTTATCTTATTTTATTACATAATAAATTACTTTAAAAAAATATAATGTTAAATGAAAATAAAAAGTATTTATTATACTTTTAAAGCTAGGTAGATAAATTAATAAGCATATACAGTGTAAAGGCGATAATACAAATATTCCCTATATTACTTCAAATATTACCTACCTAACAACAATATGACATTAGGTACATTAGAATACCTAAATGGTTATTAGTAAAGTTTGTAATTTTAGGATTTTACATATCAGTACTGAGTAAGATATTTTTTTAAGAGTAAAAAATATTTTAGCCCAGTAGAATATAAATGAACAATAGTAGCAGAAAAATAAAAATGTTCACACAGAGCTTCTTCTACTGATGGTTAATAAAAAATAAAAAAAAAAAAAAATGTAAAAATGTGAATAGACTTTAATTGTCTATTAATATCAGAAAATATTTCCGGGGTTAGGGAGTATTTACATTCTTTAGCATATCTTAATTTTAATAAAAATATTGATGTATCTTAATCAAAATTGGAACAAGTAATTATTAAAAAGTATAAAAGGATAAATGATAATAGGCTTTAAAAAAGTTTGCAAAAATATTATAAATACATTTAATATTTAATTTAGTCCTTATTATACAAATAATAACAATTTTATAAATTATATAATGTTAGGTAATAGATCAATACAATTAATTTAACTATAATTGTCAAAACACTATGGACCTCGAATCTTACAAACTTATTACCATGCAATTATTATTCTTAGTACACAAAGTAATACATTATCATAAAAAACCATATGTTCAAATTTTAATTTAGATACATAAACATTCTCAAAAATGTAATTTACAATTAAAAGTGATTTATTAAATAGGTAATAATCTTTCTTATTAAAATCAATTGATTGTAGTTTAAATTATATACATAACAATTACTTGAATTAATATATACAATAAAAATTTTATTTTGTTTTATACCAATTAATATAAGTATTTAAAAAATTTAAAAACTAAATTGTGCCCCGAGTATACTGAGGGCTTCTAAAATTATAATTTTCTTGGGCTGTTCTTTTCTCCCAGTCCAACACTGGTTACAGTAAAACCTGTATAGACAAACACCTGTCTATAACAGACACTTTTTATAATCCCTTAACTGTTCATTATAGACAGGTTTTGCTGTATTAAATTTACATGATTTTTAATTTCAAAGCAAAGGTAAATACAGTGGTCCTAAACATAGGGGGCAATATATATAAACAAATAAAATAAATTAATAAGAATAGCTAGGCATAGGAATTGTCTTATTATTAGTAGACATGAAATTATGAAAATAATTAAATTTTCATAGTGAATACAATAATGACCCTCTTATGATAACTTGCATAAACGTTTTAGTCACAATTACAAATAGAATAACTTTTTAGTAAACACGAGTGGGGGAATAATTAATTGCCATTATTTTCTCACTTTATATCAACTCTTGTTATAAAGACTTATGTAGAGCTAGGATTTTAATGAACTAAAACATTCACAAAAATGTACTTGAATGAACAAAAGAAATTTTATTTTAAAATAATTATTATTTATTCATTTTTTATATTACACAAATAGGTAAACATTTTTTTTTAAGAAGTAAATTAAATAAATACACCTATTCAAATTTGAGTTTAAAATTAATTATATTACTTTTTTAACATCAATTAACTGAAGAGGGTAAGTAATTGGGATTACCTATACAAAGCATATTAAAAAAAAAGCTTAAAATAAACAAAAATTTGTTTAAATACAAAAAATTAACATAATTTTTGTAAAAATGCAATAAAATGCACTTAACACAAAAAATGCTAAGTTATCAAAATCCTAGCCCTATTTATATGTAAGTAAATCAAAAAATGTGTAATACTGCAGAATTTTATGGTATTAACTTTAGTAACAGTAAATTAACCTAGTAATTAGTAGATTTTAGCTATCTATGTCTAAATGTTGGTTTGTATAATATTTCTATTTTTAAGCAAGTTTTGTATATATTTAAAGATACAACAATTTAAAAATACTCACAAGTTGCTTAACACAAAACTTTATATTTTTTTGTTAATAACCAATTTAAAATAAAACTAACATTTAGCCATAAATAGCACATATTAATTATATTAGGTATATAATTTTAATTAATTAGGTACACCAAACTCCAAGATTAACTAATTAATATAATTATTGATTTTAGTAAATTCATTTATATTTTCTTTGGTTTAAAATTATTATTTATTATTACATATTACAGGTAGTTGACTCAATTTCTACACAAAATAATTGCAACATTAGATTATTTTGAATAATTTAAAATATAAAATCGGTTTTTAGCTTTAACCTATTGGCTATATTTCATGAATAAAATTATAAAAAATGTAGACTAAAAACTATATCAAAAAAAATCCAATAGGTACATATTAAATGAAATTTGTAATTATATTCAAAACACGTCTAGAATAAAAATTTAAAATTACATAAAAAGACATCTTGATTAATAGATCTACTATTAATTCAATTTTTAAAAAATAACGAACACCGTCTTGTAAAATATATTAAGAATACTTAAATAAAACATTAATATAAAAAAAATAATTTCCTTAAATCTAATGAACAATCATATTTATGCATAAGATTGTTATTACTATTTTTACTTTCCTATTTTTTTTTTTTTTTTTTTTTTTTTAATAATTTAAAATAATATACTGACCTGTTGCTATGTCGTGTTAAAGTCGGAAAAATAAAATATGTGTTTTATTGGTAGAAAAAGCCTTAAGGCTATGGCCTACGATTTAACACGTGTAAAACAGCAGCAAGATTCCTTTTTTTTATTAAATAAAATAAAAATTGAGAAAAAATAATACTTGAGTTATGTTCTTTAATTTTGATCACAAAGAAAATTTGAAGAAAAAGAGCAGAAGAAGAAAGAGCCAGAAGGCAGAAATACAACTGAGAAGTGGAGTGGATACGGTAAAGGTAGCCGATGGGTTACTTGGAATTTAATCGTTGTAACTGATGATATTAAATATTATTCCTAAATTTATCTATAGAGGTGGTATTCCCTGTGTGAAACTTCCATAGTCACATATATTTTCGTGATTGTATCGAGTACCTATTGATTAGATAAAATATCGTGGAATAAAAATCGATAAACAATTTAATGAACTTTGTAATCGTAGCTGCAAAAATAATTTCTGAATATTCTGTAAAAGAAAATTACTTTGCCATTAAACATAATTATATATGCAATACAATTTATTCACATTTTTGAGATCATAAAATATCGGGAGTTGGATACCTAATATATTATTATATATATATAATAATCATACATAACGATCGAATTTGATTATCCCCATTTCTCAGATCAGGACATAAACCTTTTTCATAAGAATAAAATATTTCTGTGCCTAAAACGACAATACTATGTGTCTATGTATAGCAATAAAAATAGGATTATTAATATAATAGGAAAATAAAACCAAATCTTCTATGTGTTTTGTAATAGACAAGTCTTGGAATTAAGCAACAACTTACGTTTAATACTAAGAAATAATTGAATTTTTCAACAATAGTTATAGAATTTTAAGAATTATTATGCGATTTCAAGTTTTTTTATATATATATTTTCGATAACTCGAAAGAATGTCTTGGCCCCTACTTTATAACATATCATATGTGTAACCTCTGTAAGTCGAATTTTCGATAACTCGAATTTTTCTTTTCGCCCCCAACCAATTTGAGTTATCGAGGTTCCACTGTAATTTACTAAGAAAAAAATTAAACAAATTAACACAATATTTATAATTTTTACAATTTCTATTATTTATTTAGGTAAAACAAAGAAGAATATAGTGTATTCAACTCCACCTTTAGATATTGATGATCTCAAAAATAAAATAAGAAATACTTATGCAAAACTAACAAAGGAACAGATATTAGCTGCCACTCAAAGAGAAGTAATACGTCGATTTCAATCATGCATGGCGAATGATAGGCTGGATTTTGAACAATTTATTAAATAGTCATTAGAAATTATTTTACCCAAATAAATAAAAGAAATTATTAAAACTATAAAAATTGTGTTAATTTGTTTAATTTTTTCTTAGTAAATTAACTACAATTTACAAAGGCGTGATTTAAGTTAATTAACGTCTTATAATTAAACTTAAAAGATTTAATTATGTCTGCAAACCTACAAATAAATAAAAAAAACTTGAATTCACATGATAATTTATAAAATTCTGGGATTATTGTTAAAAAATTCAATTATTTTAATCGAAACTTTAGTGCATTGTCATTATGTCAATTTTAGTTTTTGAGCTATGGTAAAAAGGACCAAATTGACTTGAAAAATGTCGGTCTATCCAAATCTGTTGTTGACAATAGGTGTTGCTATATATTATAAAAAAATGCAAGTTGTGCTGCGTATGCGCACAACAAAAGGGTTAACTATTTGAAAATTGTAAAAAATGTGTATTTCGATAGTCCTTTACTAGTAACTAGGTATTTAAAATAACCCTACCTCAATCGGCTCAATCCAATGTCACTAGACAGTATTTTTAGTGTTACCTTTAAAAGGAATAACGCAACGCCTAACTCATACAGTGTATAGTATACACACATGAAAATACGTATAGTTTTATTAATTTTAAAATATTTTCAATTTCAATTAATCTCTGTATTTTTTTTATCTATTGATTCTTATAAAATAAAATATCTTTAAAGTTTAATAATTATTATTATTATATTACCTATATTATATAATAATAAATAATATTATGGTACTACTTAATTCAATTATATTGATTAATTTAGAATTATAAAATGACTAATTAGTTATTCTGATATGAAAAATTATAATAATAATATAATTGTTAAATATTTTGTTTATTATTTAATTTGTATACAAACAATAATACGAAATACGAAAACAGTTACTGATTGTAAATATGTAAGAAAATATAAGTAATACAGATTAAAGACTATTGGACTAAGTACATTAGGTACCTATTATAATTATAGACTATAGTAAAATATATTTTAAGTTTATTCTTCGAATCAACTATCGAGACAATAATTTTAAATTTCTTTGTTAGTGTACACAATAATTTAAATGTGTTTAGAAACTTGAAATTTTAATGTTAAATAAAATATATTTTTGAAAATTTAATGTTATCAAATGATTATTGTGATTGATTCTAAAATGTTAAAGTAATCTGTAATACTAATAAATAATAATACTTTAAGCAAGTCCTTTCTATTTCTTTAAAATTAGCCATGATATTTAAAATAACTAAAAATTTTACTTTAAGGTATGAAATAATAAATTTATTTAATTAAAAAATAAAACAGTTTTTGTAATACCTACGCTCAGAGTATTGGTAATTGTCAGCTAGTACTGAAGATGCCGCTTATAAGACTCAGATTGGGAAAATCTTTAAGTAAATTTTATAGGTGAAGTGAGAAAAATAAACATCAATTTTAATTTATTATTGACCTTATTTTGCTACTTTACACTTACTATTCAATATTAGATATTATTAGATATTTTTAAATAAATATAATACATATACATATTTCTCATTTTCTCATACTCGTATTGTATATTAAAATAACGTACGAATTTCATAACTTATTTATTTCAAAATTTTATCAAAAATGTCTTCATTTTCTACCTTGTTTTACGAAATTTGAGTCTTATAATCAAATTTATCTTAAAGTCTTTGAGTATTCTACAGTTACTTAATTTATAAATTTTTATACTCTGAACAATTTTTAAAATACAAAAAATATTGAGTTATTTAAAAATACTGATTTTTTTTTTATCTACTTACTCAATGATGAAGATTTAAAACAGTCAAAACTTATTATAGCTGTATAATATTACAGCTAAACGATTTTCCCAATTTTTAATTTTCGTTTTTTATAGTATTCTACTGTTATGTTTATATTGCTGTGCGTCCATTATAATTATTTAACGGTTATGTGTAATTTCTTTAGATAGTTTATAAATGACAACCTTTTAAAGTGGATATTTACTATTTCACCGTTTAAATCACCACACGTGACACGTCTATATTAGTATACTATTATAGTTAATAGCTAGCTTGCCATTCGTCTGGGTTTGACCGAGACAGTCCTGGTTTTAACAGCATGTCCCGGTGTCCCAGCCGGTCATTCATTTTGTCTTGGTTAATGGAAGCCGAGCTAAAATAAGTTTAACATTATATTATTTAATATCGAAACATGGAATAATATTGTACATATCATTACAATGTGATTATCGTACTATGTTATCTGTTTATTATTTTCATATAATTACATATACTAACATACTAAAAAAAAAAAAAAGTTATTTTAATATGATGTCCCGGTTTGGTGATTTTAAAATCTGGCAAGCCTGATAGTAAATAACAAATCTTGTCTTTAGAGAACGTACCTATTTAAATATGAATACGAATTATAGTATAAAGTTTTTTTCAGAAATAATATTTTTATTTTTTTTTTCCTTTTTATTTGAAATAAACAATCTGTACAGTTTGCACAATAAGCTTATATGATAATAGTACATGATACGTGACAGGCGTGATTTAAGCAGCCACCCATTAGTGACTCTTGACTCAGAAATAATATAAATTTAAAATTGATGTCAATTATTTTTATAGATATGTTTATTATAAATATTAATTATTATATTAGCTGGTAAGTACCTATTAATTGTTTAATAACTAATGCCTGTACCGGCTGTACCTAATACGTTATATTCTTAATACTTAAAATGTAGCAGTTGCAAATTACTATGAGCAACGAATAAAATATTGGTTATTTGGTTCATAATAATGTAGTTTTTTAGTTTTTCATGTAACTTATAGATATTGGCATAACTTAGAGTAAATCCTTGGAAGGCAGAATATTATAATAATTTTATTTAAAAATAACTCATCTACTTTGTTCCAAGTAAAACTTATTACAGTTTACAGTTTACACTATACTACTATAGTCCATCCAAAAGATAATAAAACCACATAATCTACTATATTTTATTAAAACAATGATGTATTTGTTTCCTAATTAAATATTTTGTAAATAGTTAAGATTTAAATAGTAAAGTACCATTAATTAAAGATATATTACTTATAGTAATATTTTATCAATATTAATATTTGATAGTTATATTATTAGTTTTAAAATTTCCAATAAAAATGTATAGAAATCTAAAATATTAATTTGTAAGTCTAATTTTTAGTACTACCACTACGTAAAACGTAAAAGTAGATACTAATAATCTTAATTGGATTTAACTGAAACATAAAATTTAATTGAGTGGAAGCATAACATAATATAATATAACACTAATCTTGATAAAGAGATAGGTCATGACGGTTTTGTAAGAAAGATATATTTAATGGGAATTGGTAATCAAATTGATATCACTCTTATCGATATATAAGATTTTTTATTTTACAATAGTTATTCACGTCGTTTACAACTAAACGAATTATAACCTGTAATTTGGTTTTTGTAAATAGTTGTACTCTCATAAAGATAATTAATTATTGGAGTTAATAATTATTTAATTTATAAATACATAATAGTATTATAGAGGTAACAATACGTGTAACAAACGAGATACATTTAACAAAAAACAATCATGATTTTGTCATTTTAAAATATTTCTGAATAATATTATTTATCAAAGTGAAATCAGTTAAATGACTATAGTGTTCGTTTATATTAATATCTAAAGAAAATACCAAAGTGGATTTCTATACTTAATAAACTTGTATAGGTAGAGTAGATACCTACGTTGCCTACACAACATATTATTTAGTGACCGATAAGGAAACTTTTTTCCTCATTAAAAATTATTACAATCTATAGATACACGTTTATGTAATTATGTACAAAAAGTAATCAGTTTGATAATTAAACATTTTTAAGTAAAAAATGATAGAT